TATTGAGAATAACTCTTTGACTTTATTGTGAAATATCACCCGTGATTCCTTGAGTAATTGTCTTAGTTTTATTTACCACTTTTGAGATTTTATTTGAAGCCACGAAACCATCGTGACAGCGTAAAGATACTGGTACATGAATTTCAAAGGAAATAGTATTTTTGTTACAGGGATTTTTTTTAGTGGAAAATGCAAATAAAAGTGACTGTTACTCTGAACAAGATATGTATAATGAGTTGGTCAAATTAGCTGATAAAGGAGAATTAGATAGATATAAAATTCCAAAAGTACAAACAATTAAAGGATGGATAAGCAGATATTCTAGGCAGGTGAAAAAAGAGGCGGCTGAAAAGGCTTCAGAAAACCATGAAGAAGTTTCTGAAAGTAATAAAAGACTGAAAATGTAATATTGTACACCTTTGTTAGCTTTAAAAAATTTAATAAATGGGTTTTAAAATTATATAGTATTTCTTATACTATTCTTTCGAAATGCTACTGTCCTCCATATATAACTTTGTCAGAATAGTGCGAAAACTATTCAATTTTTTTTTTATTTTCTAGACGGAGTATGATTATAATTCTCTGCCAAATTTGGTATATTACTCATGCCACCAAATTTGTGTTATGTATCATAATAATATAGTGATCGCCCAAAATTTTACTAAATCGGGTCTATCCATGTAATATCAATTTCGAGGGTACGATTCGCCAGACCAGTACGGTACGATTATGCAGATCAGTATTTTTCGCGAATTTGAATCGTACCGTACCGTACCTATAGAGCTTTTATTATAGGACCAGTACGGTACGGTACGGTATGACCTTTCGTAATAGACGTTGATAACACGGTGAATTTATTATAAAGTTTGTAATGTTTTAAAATTAAAAATTTTAACCGATTATTGATTATATTCCTTTTTATTTCAATAAAAAAAAATAATAATATAATCATTTTTGATTGAAGTACAAATGCATCATAATAAAATAAATTATTGTTTTGTAATTAAATTATTTTAATTTTTATGTAGTAACGCTTTTCTTTTTAATTTAATTTAATTAAAGTTATTTTGACAAACATACCGTTGAACTTTATGTCAGAAATATAAACTTTAAGATCTAATAATGATGCAGTACAAACCAGAACGAATTTTCTAAATTCGTACCGTACCGTACTGGTTCTATAATAATGCTTTATATATAGGACCAGTACGGTACGGTACGATTCAAATTTCCCGCGAAAAAATACTGATCTGCATAATCGTACCGTACTGGTCTGGCGAATCGTACCGTACCGATTTTCCATACACTCCATATTAAATCATATGATCCGTAACATGAAATTTAAAGCAAAACCTCCCATATATTCCAAGAAAATAACATCGCAGCTATTTTTTGTTTTACTTGCGTGACCGATCCTAATAACTAAACTTAAAGTTTAAATTTAATGTGATAATTTGACGAGATTAAATCGAACCAAACCATTTATTAAAAAAGCAATGCTAATAAACTTGGTTATTTTAAATTATTTAATATTTTCTAATCGAAAGAGAATTTTTTTTCAAAAGTATATAAATGTATATAAAATAAAACGTGTAAATTAAAAATAAATTCGGGCTCATTCTGTAAAGTCTAAATTTAAAGTACATTATCGCCAGTTTTAACATGTTTTTCTATATAAAAATTTAATTTCAATAAAAAATAATCCGTTAGTAGTAGTCAGTCATATGTATAAAGTTCTTTCTTACTAATAACTTGAGAGTTGATTTCCGATTCTTCAATATCATGTTTTCTTGAAAAATTCTCAGATGAAATAGATGAATTTATTAGTCTTGTATGAGTTCCACTTTGATGCAAAGTCTTTGAAGTAACTTGAGTTGTCGAATTTGCATTCATTGCAGATTGGCTATAACATCATTAAAAAGTATAAGAAACTCATCTTTATATTAACGATATTTTATTTATAAAACAATTATAATTATAATTTATTACAATACCTGGAAATATCAAATTCCAATTCTTTAGAAATATATTCTAATGAATAAAAATTCAAAAATAAACAAATTATTAGTTAAACCTAATTGACATGATTTCATAAAGTTTTACCATTTAATGACATATTAGCGTAGTATGCGTCTTGATACCGAATATTAGATGAATGATTATATGACTGCTGAAGACAAACTATATATTGTTATTGCAAATATACTGTATAAATTAATTCAATTTAAAATGAATAGACATAATATTGATAATTAATAGTTATGATACCTTGATAATTTATATCATATTCATGCTCCTTCGAAATATATCCTAGCATAAAAATAGAAAATTATTATGGACAGATAAATTAATAATTGATAAAACCCATCTTTTATTAACAATTTACTATCTTATAATTTATACCTTGTTTCATATTATGTGATTTAATAAGTGAATTCATAGAAGTCCTAGAAAATGCTCTACTTGTATAGATTGATTTTGGATGCTTTTCAGTAAATTCAGGACCAAGTTTCTTTAATTCAATTAATGCCAATCGTTTATTTTCAGCTTGATTAAATTTCTCATCATTATATATTCCGCGATACCAACTGCCAATAGTTCTACAGATTTCTTTTATAGGAGGTCTTTTTAAATGATCAGGATCCCAACATCTTTTTCATTAAATTAGCATAACAATCGGGAGTATCTTCTGTAATTTCAGGTCGTTTTCCATCAATAATTTCATAAATAAGTTTATGATCATGTTCAACATTAGCAAAAGCTTGCAACCTGTTGTAAATTCCCACATAACCATACTATAAATATCGGATTCTTTTGAAAATGAAGAACCATGAAATATTTCTGGTGCAATATAAGGAATAACTCCATATATTTCATTATTTATTAAAGTATTATTTTCAGGCCGTGATAATCCAAAGTCTCCAATTTGCCATTGATAAATTCTTTCATTATCTTAAACAAATAACATGTTTCCGCTGTGCATATCTCGATGTATGAGATTTTTATTATGAATAGTTTCGAGTCTAACATTAAAAAATTAATTAGTAAGATAAATTATAAATAAAATATAAACAATATAAATAAAATATAATATAAATACCCATCTAAAATTTGCCATAATATTCCTAATTTTTTTTATTTCATGTTAATTCAGCAAAATTTCTTTGTAAATGATCATGTAAATCACCTCCTGATGCATAATCCATTAATAACATAAAATCGTTTGTTTCAGGATCTTTTGTAACACCATAACACGATTAACACGATTAACTATTTGATCAGAAAAACAAAGATGATTTATTTTACCTAATAATATCATTTAGATTATTTTAGATTATTAAATAAAATTACATTTCAGATATAGAATATTTGAATTATTACCTCATTTAAGAAAGATTGGCTAATATTCTTTAAATTTAAAAACCTTTTTATAGCAATGGTTTTAACTTTTCTTATGGACCATGAAACATTCGTATTATTATGAAATTTAGGCATTTTACCTAAATAATTTGCTTTATAAATAATGCCAAATCCCCTTTGTGCTATTTCTTCTAAATTTTTAAGTTGAGAAAATGAAATCCATTTAATTGCTGAACATGATAAAATTATTTCTATAAAAGCTTTATATACATATTTTGGTTCAAGCTTTTTCACAGTAATTTTCATGTTATCAACAACCGAATATTTTTAAATTTTGTACTGAGAATAAACTCATCTATAGTATTGTTACCACTGTTTATAAGTGATGTATCAATATTAATAATTGTTGTTCTTTTGCATTTTCTACATTGTGAATAATCGGTAATTTCAAATATGATGGTTGTTGTTAAAAAATATCTACATCCATTGTAAGTTATTTTGCAATATATACACCATTTGAGACAATCAGTTACGTGTTTCATGGAATTTCACTATTTCTACAATATCCATAACTTTCCCAACACGGTGAATAAAAAATTGGAACAAGTATTTTAGTTAAAGTCGTCCAGAAGAAATTTTATAACAATCTGAACATATTTTAAAGTAATTTGAATTATAAACTAACTTTTCACATAATTTACAATCCTTATTATTCTCAAATATTTTTAAATTCATTTCCCACCTAACCCTATAATTGCTATGTTGTATTTGATTGAAATAAACAATATCTGAGCAAGTTTCACACCATTCTTGAATGTATTGTGTGCAATAATCCGTATTCCTAGCTTCATGTTTATCACAATAAGTTTTATTTGTAACTATAAGTAGATCCAAATACGTATTATTTTCAGTTATGCAACTAATATACTTAGATAAGCAATTTTTACAATATTCTTGTTTAATTAAAAGTGTCAAAGAGTATTCATTTCCACAATGACATTTATCAACGGATTTAAAAGGAATAAACATAATTGGTATAGGATTGGATTTTAATTTTGGAGTTGGATCAAAATCATCATAATTTGTAAGAGTAAGTTCCATATTTTAAGAAAGTTTAATAAAAAATAATGTCTGGATTTGACATTTTATATATTAATTAATGTTACACGTCATTTCCGACTCGAAAACTTGCATGGAATTCTAAAGAAACATTTTTTTTTTTATTACTAAACAAGAAACTTTAAATTTGTTTTATGCACATATGATACGCCGCTTATATATCATGAATAAATTTTAGTAAAGGAAGCCACGATAACAGAATCTTGGTCGAATTATATGGAACTAGTGCTCCGTAATGGTCGGGTCGGATCTAACGCATATTAGAACTCGAACTCGTTAATAATTACGGAACCGAATTCAAGGGTAATATTAATGCCGAAAATAAAAAAAATTTGTCAAAAATTTATTTATTTTTTTTAATCCTGATTTTTTTTTTTACATCTTTTTCTACCAAATATCAGATCGGTTCCACCAGAAAAAACTACACTTGTTACTTTATAAAAAAATGTATTAGTAATGTTTAATAATCGATAATTTTTTTTCGTTACCTTCGAAATGCTTATAGAAGTTGTACTATTGGTACTCGATAGGTTTTTATTTATTTGTTACAAATTAAGTCACATAACGTAAAAGCAAAAAAAAGTCAATTTATATTAATCAAATCTCATGATCATCCGGGTCCAAGCAAAAACGTGGCCCTTACCCGACGTGATTTTTTATTGAATTAGGACTCGACTCGTGTCATAAAATGATAGTCCCGACTCGAAAAAAATTCGTTTCGGGTTGGATCGGTGATGATGAACCAGTGAGTTGTTTCATAGTTTGTTCTAAAGTTCTCATCACTATATTGCGTGATGTAATTTATTTTGCATACGATAAATTATAATACGTTACTTACATTTTTTTTAAAAAAAATAGCTCCAAGTTTTTCCAGTTCGAATTGTTGTTACATGACCGAGTTTTCATATATAAAGTATAATTTATCACGTCTTTGTTTATCAAAGTATTATTAGCGCTTCAAAATCGTGAAATAGTTTCTAAATCATATATGGAACAGTTTGTAATCATACTTGTAAAGGCTATTATACTGCATATCTTTTCTAAAGTTTTCCAAAATGTCCTTTTATCGAATAATACTAACGAAATAAATACTTAACCATCATCGTTAACGTTAAAGGATTTAGGATCCGGTTAATAAAAATAAAATAAAGAAATAAAGAAATAAAAGATACGATAATAGAGAAGAATTTATCCTAGAAAACATAAGATCTTTACAAAGAGGCTGTTTTTAAGCACAATTTAATTTTTTTTTAGAGTAAATTAAAACGATGACTTACCCTACAAAAAGGACGCCATAAATGTTTGTAACGTCCGGAAAACGTTATATGGGTCGTTACCGGCCGATCTTTATTTTCATGGGTTTCATGAAAGCAATTCCTAAGATACAAATAGAACTTATCGTTTTGTTGGTATTCACTGTCACAAATTTCCATCTTTGGGTATAAAGTACGGAGTTGACGGGAGTCAATTCATAAATATATTCAACATGAGACCAAATCCTTAGTTAAAATCCCTTTTTAGTCTGCAACAGTTGACCTTTTGATCCCTATTACGCAAAAAACCTATTGTTTTAAACATTGATCATTTTAATATACGACCATTTTTTAAGATTCTCTATTTCATATGCGTGATATTTCACACATTTTCTCAAACGTTAAACATGTACTGCGCATCCCAATTACTACAAAAATTTGGTTTCGGGAATTGCGTACTCGAGTTGAATAAGTATTCAAAAAAAGAAGACCTAGTCAAGAAATTTTAATTTATTTCTTTTTAGCAGCTGGGCGATTAATTATCTTCGCTAGATAGTTATTTCAAATTTTTTTTTTTCGTTCAATTCTTTTTTTAAATTAAAAAAAAAAATATAACATAAAAAACTTTAAATTATACGTTTTAAAACAATTTCTTTGAAATATTGTTTGAAATTAGTATATATTTCTTTCAATTTAATTGGTCTTTGCATTTTATATTGATCTAACATTCGAGGATTCGTAAAAGCTCGTTATTGTTAACAGCCTCCCTTGAGATGGGTGGAACCTCAACTCCGAAATGTTTGCGCTTTTTTTTTACATTCATAAAACATTCGATTTCTATATCAGTTATAATGACTCAATTTAATAAAGTAAAACATTTTATCTGAAACCCCTTGTTCAATATTCTTGATTTATATCAAAATATAAGGAGAATTCAAATGATGAGGGGCTTAATTAAAGTAGATAAAGAAGAAGAATTGACCACATGCCTTTTGTTTATAATTTGAGATATTTTCATTTTCAAATTAAATCAAAACTATTTTTAACATATGTTTATTATTAATTTTTGTATGGAACTAAACCGCCCCCGTTATTTTTATTTTATTTTTGTTTTTAATTTTTTTACGTTCAAAAAAAAATAAAAAAGATCACAATCTAAAGGAGGCGGACGAATCATCAACATTTTAGAATGAGGCTTAAAAGGTTTCTTTGTTATGAAACCCATTAAATTTATTATTGGTAGCAATTTTTTTTTTTACTAATTATTCTTAAAGTCAATGATGTTGCTATAAATTTCTGATTCTAAAAAGAAAATTTGAATTTTTGATTGGACGAACCATCACATGATGCTAATCTTAAATTTGTTGGCTAATTTAAAATTAAAGTAATTTATTTGACCGAAATAAGGATATTATGTCCGTTCCCTAACTTTTATGATTAGAATTTGTAAGTGTATTTTAAAATTCGTTTTGTTCCTTTGATAACATAACATATGAAAAATTATGGTTATTTGATCTTACAATATTAGAAATTCTCAAATTGTATCCGAATAGAAAGAAGTTATTTCATACTTTTGAGATAATGTAATGCAAGCCGGACTAGAATGAAATCTAATTTTTTTCTATCCAAATATGGATCTTAATTATAAAATAGTTGCTAATTGCTGATGATAAGGAGAGTTAAATAATTCAGTTTATTTATTATTTATTTAATTTATTTATTTATTCTTTTTTTTTTAAAAAAAAAAATGTGGTTAGTTACCACTTTGTTAAATTATATTAACTCGATCGTGTGTTAATTTTCATAATTAAACAAAAAAAAAAAGATATTGATGCATAGAATTACTAATTGTAAAAAAGATTAAACAAATTAAGTAATAAATTTCTTTGTGTATAATATCAATATGATTATTCTTAACAAAAACGTAAGAACTAAAATAATCCCATTTCTTTTACTAAAATTAAAATCAATGTAAATTAATTTTGAAATCTTAAAAAAATTTTGAAAAAGAATTCTTTGTTATTTGCTATAGATCATCGGATACGTTAAACGGATTCGATGAAATTTAAAATTTAAAAAAAAGGCAACAAAATTCATATGTTGTTTATGAAACGATATATATTATAAGTGACATTGATAATTTGGATAAAGACTATTCAACTAATTTTGAAGTCACGGTAAGTTCGGTTAAGGGATAAACTTGTCTCATACGAACTCTCCATTTTCAGACGGACGTCCTTGAATCAATGAAAAAGTTGAAAGAGACACATATGTACTTTTTCTCAATATTTTGCGCTCGTTTTACTTTAACGCAAGGGGCTAACTGTGTTGTATGTAACGTGTAACGCATAATATAAAGTTTCAAACCCGTATTGATGACGTAAATAATTGCGAAATTGAGCAAATTGATGGCGTTGGCTTTCAAATCACACAACAAAGTTTTTGCCATTAAAACATCTCATTCGGTACAGCAAGGAGCTTACTAACTTTACCTTAGATTTGCTCTGAAAAAAATGTATTAAAAATCAAAACGAATCTTGATGATTTGAAACTCGCCAATTTTAGACTTACTGAAATACTGTATATCAAGAGAACTTGTAGAATCAATCTTTGATGTTAATGATTCCATTTTTGCAGATATAATTATGTTACCTAGAAATTTAAAATACCGATTAATTTTATAGAAGTTATGAAAAAAAAAAATTTATATAATGAATACCGATCGAGAATTAATGATAAATAATCCATATATCGGCTAGTATGAATAGCTAAAAAGTTTATCCATTAAAGTAATTAATTCTTTTATTTTATAAATAATTTATCTCGGAGATTCTTAATTTGAAAACTAAAGTTTGCACGTGTCGACGCTGTATATCATGGCACGAAATTTCACGTGATATATTTCTGTCTACAGTGTCACATCGTTTTGAAGAAAAATCTCTATTATTTACTGTAGCTTTAGTTATCGTATCAAAATCAAAGACAAAATGACGAACGTATAAATATATTAGAAATGATCATTGATAAATTATTCATGCATTTGATTAAAATGCAAGCTAACGAAACGAAGCATTTTGATAAACTTTATTGATTTTCAGAAAGCAGCTAACTTTATTTGGTAAGACAAGAAGCGGTTAGATCCATTTTTAAGACTAGATTATTTATGGAGAAAATTACGGTAGGAAAAAATTTAAACCGAGGGCTGAGTAAATTTGCATGAAATAAACACTCATAGTCTGACAATTAAAAAGTTTTAACCCGAGGGCTGAGCAAAAAGAGATTTCTATTGGTGCAAGAAAACAATAAAACTCATTGAAATAACCATCCGAACAATAATCAATCAAAAATGGTTTTAAAGAATAATTTGGAAAAATCCTTAAAAGTCTTGGAAACGAGAATTAAGGAGTTAGAGCAAAGTAACGAAGGGTTACGTTCACAATTAAAATATTTAGAAGAAAAGGTTAGAGAGCGAGAAGAAGAAACCAAGGCCAATATTAATAATTTGGAAGAAAAGGTTAGAGAACGAGAAGAAGAAACCAACGGAAATATTAAAAATTTAGAAGAAAAGGTTAAAGAAGAGGCCAAAGCCAAGCAAGTAATTATTAATAATTTAGAAGAAAAGATTAGAGTACGAGTAGTAACCAAAGAAAAGCAAGAAATTATTAGGGAATTAGAAAAGAGAATCAGAAATCTTGAATTTATTATTTACGATGATACTATTGATAGTTTGACTATTACAGATAATAAGGATGACATATTGAACACCTTAGGCGGATTGCAAAGATATCGAAAAGTGACAAAATTGGATTGTAGAAATTCTCAAATAACAAGCTTACCAACATTACCCAACTCCTTAACATTTCTTGATTGCTCTAATTCTCAAATAACAAGCTTACTAACATTATCCAACTACTTAACGGTACTTGATTGCTCTAATACTCCAATAACTATCCTACCAACTTTACCCAAATCCTTAACGGAACTCAATTGCTCTTTAACTCCAATAACTATCCTACCAACATTACCCAACTCCTTAACAAAACTTGATTGCTCTCGTACTCCAATAACTATCCTACCAACCTTACCCAACTCCTTAACAAAACTTGATTGTTCTTATACTCCAATAACTACTCTACCAACCTTACCCAACTCCATAACGAAACTTGATTGCTCTTGGACTCAAATAACTATCCTACCAACCTTACCCAACTCCTTAACAATACTCAAATGTTATTGGACTGAAGTAAATAGCTTACCAAATATACCCGATTCCTTAACAAATATATACCCCAAATCATTAAAATTTCAAATACAACAATAACTACTGTATGCGTTTGAAATAATAGCTTTAACTTTAGCCTTCTTTAATGTTCAAGATTTTTGAGAAGTAACTAATATAAACAATCTTATATTTTGACGACGGATTTGTAATAAGACTTTAATATTCACTAGATCCACGATCCAAGATGCCGGAATGTCTAGAAATTGGTTACAAGGTCTTCATAATTACTTGTATTAAGACGGTCTCCTTCAAATATTCTTAAGCTCGTCTACTGCAGTTCAATCTCAGAAGTTTCGCAATTGGAATCACATTCTTCTTTGTTCAAGATGATGAGGATCTTCTTATGAATAGTTAAGGCTTCACAAAAGCTTTTCCTAAAAATAGACGAGATTCATTATTAGACTTAGGCCTCACCAAATTTAAAAGTTTGTTTAACATCACAATTAAATAAAAATCAAAAGGGGGAGGAGGAAAAACAATCAACAGTAAAATTTAAACACTTTAAATTAACTAATTAATCTTTAATACTGTGATACTATTATATTTCAATGATATTTCTTTATTATATAAATTCTTAATTTTTAATGCCTAAATTATACTTTTTCCTAATTTTCTTTTCTTAGACCATTGATTAATATTGTTATGCCCACAAGTAAAGAAATATTTTTGCCCAATTTGAGATTTCTTCAAGATCTAAACCACTTGCATTGGGATCAAGCTCAGTCATATCCTTCCATAAGTTTTTTCAAGGTTTAAGAGAAAGAAAGAGTTCTCGTCATCTACTTGGTAAAAAAGAGTTAAACAAATTAATGAAACCATCCGTGCTCATAAATCAACCTATGATTGTAGTTTGGTGTACACACCACGTCGAGCTGGTAAAAAACTTTACACTCGCTTTTTCAACAATAATATTATAAAATACTAGACTCACATGGTCACGATAATCTGTTCTATTTGCCAAACAAATATGATTCATAAAGATGCGCACTATCATTTCCAACTATTACAAAATCGATAGCTTTTTGTCAAAGTCACTATGATCAATTTCATTTCAACGTTTCCCTAACACAAGTTATTAATTACATATCCTGAAGATGACTTTCTTTCATTGATTTAAATTAGCTCATATTTTGGACTTTCCAACAGCTCTATTGAAAGGATTAATAATTAAGCTCATTATGAGTAATAGAAGCAAAATAACAGTCAACATGCACCAATTCCTCAATCCAAGCCACACTAATATGATCAGTAATCCACGTAACTGAGACTCTTCAATCAATTAGGACGAATTTTTCCTCAGATTGAAAGTTGAATATCGTTCTTTTTAATAAAGTCTTATTACGAAAAATAACTACAAAAATTTTAGTATTTCTACTAAATAAAGAGAGAGAAGGAATACAACCACCAGAATTCAAATTATTTAACATTTATGAGTCTAATAGGAGCCTACACTGAATCCAAATTACATACATTTATGCTAGACATCCAGTAGTTAAACTACTTTAAGTAAAGAACCCTATATGTAACCACTAATGACTAACCTATTATCTTATGGCCATATGCAACTTCACCTAATGACCGCGCTTAAAATGCAATTTCAACCTTACTCTTAAAATCGTCGAGTAGTGCGTTAGATAATATGAACAACTTTTTTCTTTTTCGTCAGATCTATAAAATAAGGAAAGAAGTTATTAGAGTGTTAGAGAAGAGTATCGAAAAGAGATATTAATTAATTTAATTAATAAACTGAGCTTAGACCTGAGACCCGTTGTGATAAGTCGGTAATCATCATACATGCCTCATTAGGTTTTTCGTCACCTACATTATCTGGAAAGGAGACGAACACGATTAGAACGTCTTATATAAAAGAAACTGGGAATAGGAGGGTCACCCTTCAAACACAGCTATGCCATCACATCACTAACGAGACCCCCCTCGTGATTTTAAATGAAAATAATTTCATTTGTGGGACACGATGTAGTCCTATCGTGCTTTGACGGCCTGGATGGTATCCTTTCTCTTAACAATATTCGGATCATCCTGCTGCTAAAATGACAAGATGATGATTATGCTTATATGACAATACCAGTGTCATGCCTAACACCCGTTACCGTTACCATCACGGTTCATTTGTAAAAATCTTTAGGATATGTTGGAAGTTTTCAAAATGTAAACATGCTGTAACCTCATAAGAACGCGGGACTAACCTTTCAACGCCGAAGCTTTGCCAAAGCTTCACTTGCAGAAGTTCTCTTTAGAACATGGTTTGATATCTGGGATGTAAACAATATCTCGTTCTCAACCTTTTTATGGCAAAATATCGCCTAAGAAAGTATAATACTTCTTTTTTTATATGTTAAGTACTTTTAACCGGGACCAACTGACTAAAATAATATTTATTTTTTTTAAAATTTGTGGAAAATTTTCAGTAAAAAAAGAGAGAAGTCATTAATTATAAAAAATTACGTGGATAAAGTTGTGATGTTTGTATCCGGATGATAAATTTTTACATGATGATACCATGTACTCGATGCGGGTGAAATCATTAGAAATAGGTTAAGGGCAAAAGTTTAAATTAGCACAAATCAAAGTTAAATGTTTTCATAATGTTCCACCTACAGTTCTCGAAAAAAGTAATCGGAATTACAAAAAAATGTAAATAAATAAAAAAACTAGTGATTGAAATTGCTTTAAATTTTGCAGATTTGTTGTCAAATATGTAAATATTATGTATACATAATTTCAGCTATTTATCCTATCTCCATGTCCCACAATCGTCCTTTAAGTCAAAAAAAAAAAATTTAAGCAGTAAAACCTGAAAAATTTAATACAGCATTTTAACTACAATTTATTAAGATTAAATAGCTATAAAATCAAAGTTCAGTAGGCTGATTCATTGGAAAAAAAAATTTGGTACTTTATGATTCATTAATTGCTGAGAAAATTAAAATTAAAATTTATTTACTAAAATGACCTCAACCCTTAAAAATAGCTAAAAGAACAAAAATTTAGGATTTTAATTCAAACTACAATAGTTATATTATTTAATGTAGATTAATAGTATTCGAATATACAAAAAAATTTATTAAATAAGTACGATTATGTTCTGCATTCTGCATGATATTTTATAGTCAACTTTAATTTCGATTTACCGAAAACCAACTGATAAATTAGCATCAAAATTTTTTTCATAAATCTACTAAAAGATATACTTTTTATATTAGTAATTTTTTTTATATGAATATAAAAAGCTGTTCATTGATATTATATAAAAACTTAACAAATTTTTCATTCTTTAAATTTTTAATGATTTTTTTTTTAATTAAAAATGTGATTGTGAGACAAAAAGGAGATAAAGTAAATAGACGAAATTTTATATACATAATATTTATATATTTATCAACAAATCTTTAAAATTTAAAGTAATTTCAATCACTAGTTTTTTATTTATTACATTTTTTATAATTCCGATTACTTTTTTCGAGAACTGTATATTGTATAAAATTAGCTGCGCATAAGTTATTTAGAATTTTAGAAACGAAAATAATAACACTTAATTATATTTAACTTTTTTTTTTAAAAAGAAAAAAATGTGCATTTTTGGTATTGGAATATTTTATTTGAAAACTTAACTAAAAATTATTCCAAAATTTAATGCGTAGATGTTATTGAAAAAAATTTTAAAAATTTTTTCAGTTAAAAAAGAAATTGAATGCAAACAAATTTTTTTTTAATTCATTGCTGTAAAAGAACCGTAATTGAAACTGGGGCACCGAATGATTTCAGACACCAAGTGAATCGATGCGATTGATCATCCGATCACAACTCAGCCTCAACTCAATTGGCATTGTATAGGAGTCGTGATCATGTAAATCTCGCGCACTAAACCACACCATGAATTTCAAAATCTTTTAAACTTAATATATTTGAAAATAATAAATCATATGATCCATAAATTGATTGTAATTGTACATATATAAAATTTGTATCATAAATATTATCTAATAGATATGTAGCAAACTTGCCTTGTTGAATTGAGGACTTAGAAAAACACACGTAATGTTTGTATAATACACTGAACAATCTATTATAGACATCAACTATTATTTATTCAACACAATCAATCTAAGACTTTTGGCAAATGGTTGCAGTTTTCTAATTCTTTTTGATCAAAGAAAACGAGAAGTGAAGTTTCGGTTAAATTATTTATGCTTTAGTCTTGCTAAAATCAACTAACTGGTACCACCACGGTTTGGCTTAATGTGCCGACTATTTAATTGTTCACCTGGTCGTTTCCAATAAAATTCTCTTCCACTTAGATTGATTAATTGAAATTTTGATTCATCTGACCAAATAATATTGCTCCAATCTTCAATAGTACAGATTTTCATTTCTTCATATTATTTATTTTACATTACATAACGTGTTGCTATTCCAGTTTTGGTCAAAAGTTCCTATTTGTGGGCTCTCGTTTTGTAGGTTTATATTTTTTTTAATTGTTTTCGCGTGTATGTATTGTTGTGGTTATAATATAAAAAGGAATTTTATTTTAAAAAACAATCCAGAAAAAAGTTTTCGTTTTTATTTATTTATACATTTGAATTTTATATGGAATGTGCCATTTACTTGAAATTAAAGTTCTTTCCTTTGAATTGGTTTCTCTACAAAATACATTTATTATGATTCTTTTAGTTGTGTAAAAGGTAATTTAATTGGTATGATCACTAATCAATATGATGTTGGTGATACATAAGTTCTTATGTACTTTAACATATTATATTTACTAGGGAACAGTAACCGTTCTAGTCCGAAGCATAACAGGACTTATAATAAAAATCAAATTTTTGTGAAAAACACACGTGACCAACAACGCAGAATTCTATTGGGTGATCAATATGCAGGATTGCCATTGAATTGTCCTAGTATTTGATTGTCCTCATGCTTCGGCATATGTGTGACGACCTTTTGGTTACAACTAACTATCTATTTTTACACTAGCGATTGATCCACGCCAACAATGAGTTTTAATTGCTGGCACTTCAAATCATCGGGCATTGGGAATTAATTTCTGGCATGAATTCTCCAACGTTCTGTTCCCATGATTCATCATGCAGAGAGAATTTGCCTCAGTATTATACATGTGACAAAACCACCATTGTCCGCTGTCAATATTTTGGCGCAACAATCATCTCTTTCCACAGAATCAATACTTAATATTTATGTTCTGTCAATACTGGACAGACAATATCCAAAATTTGCATTACACTTCGTTTTTTTTATATCCTTTTAAATTTGTAGGAGACGGAACTTTTTAAGTCTGTTTTGTCTTTCATCTTATGAATGAATACATATAATCCATAATTTAATATAATCGATAAATGACTCTAAATCGACGATCACGTGCTGTCACGTTTATATTGTTTAAATTGTTACTGTTCCCTAGTAAATATAATATTAAAGACACAAGAACTTATTTATCGCCAACATCATATTGACTAGTGATCATACCAATTAAATTACCTTTTACACAACTAAATGAATTATAATATATGTTTTTTATAGAAAAACCAATTCAAGCAGAGAACTTTAATTTCAAGTAAATGGCATATTCCATATTAAATTCAAAGGTATAAATAAATAAAAATGAAAACTTTTTTCTGGATTTTTTTTTAAAAAAAAATTCCTTTATATTATAACCAAAACAATACATACACGCGCAAACAAATA